AAGTTGAGATATATGTCAAAATGTCCCTGAAAGATCTTCGCACAGTGGAATGGCCTTTTGGGCTGGCATCTTTATGTTATGCCCCTGTCAGGCAGGTGTCCAAATTCACAATCTCAGCCTCCCCATTTGCGCCTTGGCCTTTTGCAATTGCACCTACGAAAAGTTGACAACTACAGGGGCATTTTGCAAAGTTGGACGGCGCCTGGTAGGGGTACATTGCAAAGATGGGGTCCAACCGATGTCTGGGGTGTCTTGCAAAATGTTTTTGTCATCGTCCTTCGCCGCAGCGTAGCTGCAGCAGGTCCACTTGTTTCCTTAATGATTATGCAGCTCTTTCTCTGTTGTCGTTGTTTCCTTTCATGTGGGCAACAAAATCCCTGGGCAGTGAAGCCTCACGGATTATAACGAATTCAGCTCCGTACAGGACCCTAAGGGGTTACTTTATCGGCCTTGTGGCTATAAGATGAAGTGTAATATCTGTTCTCATCGGTTTAATCTGATCGGTGGTCCATCAGGCCACATTATATTTATAAAAAAAATAAAAAGGGGGGGGGGGAGGTCCTTTTGAAACCAACAGAGCTTTCAGCACCCCTTGTTTCCATCATTTGATCTCGACCATCCATGCCCATGGTATCATCCTGGAAAACGGGAAGCTGCTGTTGGGGTCTGGCTTTTCAAGGTAATTACTTACTTAGCTTAAACCACCAGTCCATGCGCAGGAGGCACTGTAGATTCTGCGCGTATACTACCCCCCGGCTTCCCCCGAACATAACTCGTATGCGTCGAGTTTTTGAAATTTTCAAAAACTTCAATACATTCGAATAGAACACGTATACGTTGTATTAAAAAAATGGTGTTTTACTCAAATAGAACGCATATGTGTTCTATATGAATAGAGAGCAACCTGTGCGTTGTATTCATATACAACGCATATGTGTTATGTTTGGGGGGAGACAGGTAGCACCAGGCCGAAATCTAGATTGTCCAGGCCTGTGGTGAAGACCCGGTGCAACAACAGCCTGCACTGTAGATTTCAGTGCTCGGCAAATTGCACTTCTTTCGGTTCATCAATATAGCTTTGAATGGACTACTGGTAGTGGTTCAAGTAATGAGAGGTCACATTCTTCGATTCCATCCGTTTCTGGGCTTCTCACCTACACACATTCGCCCAATCCTTTCAGGAACAAAACGTGTTCCTGGAGCCAGAAACGTTTTTTTTCCTGGAACAAAACGTGTTCCTGGAGCCAGAAACGTTTTGTTCCTGGAGCCAGAAACGTTTTGTTCCTGGAGCCAGAAACGTTTTGTTCCTGGAACAAAACGTGTTCCTGGAGCTAGAAACGTTTTGTTCCTGGAGCCAAAAACGTTTTGTTCCAGAAACGTTTTTTTCTGGAACAAAACGTTTTGTTCCTGGAGTACAAGAGACTTAAAAGAGTCTGGCTGCGGTTTCTGGCTTCTCACCTACACACATTCGCCCAATCACTCTTGTTCCCCCGACAGAGGTCTTGACAACCGGAATGACATCGCCAAACTCCATTTCAAACATACTGCACATGAGGAAAAAAGCCATAACAAAACAAACGCACGTATATTATTTTAGCACACCCGAAAACACCTGCCGACAAAGAACAAAACCACAGTAAGTACTACCTTGGAATTCACAGCAGTATACGTCGCCAGGCAGAGCTGGGCCAAAGTCCGTTCATGCAGTTCACAATTAGAACTCAGTGCGAGTCCCCTGGCGATGCCAGGTCGACGCTGTGCCCTCCTTGACTGCATGCAGATGCAGATGCAGATGCAATTACTTCAATTTTTCGAGTGTGCGAAATGATGATCTGGAACGCAATGCAACTTCTTAAAATTTTCCGTTCGCCTCTACAACGTTGTCTCGGTGGTCCTTGACCTTGTCTGCAGTTTACTTTTTTTTTTTTTTTTTAACGCCCAGGTCCTTGACCTTGACTGCAGGTTTTTTTTTAACGCTCAGCTGCCGCTGCTGTATCACAGTACCCAGGTTGGGAGCAGCTGCAGCAGAGCCTCCACTTGGCCTACTTCCTAATCGAGCTTCAAGGTCAGGCACTAACTCAGCGGCCTGCCTGCCTGTAAATACCAGCTCATTTCTCTTATCCGGCATTCTCTTATCCGGCATCTTCGAAAAACTTACCGCCAACCCTATTTCCGTTCACCGTGTGCCTGACACCACTAGGTAGGGGAATCCGGAGTTAAGCGCACTACTTGGTGCAGTGTCCAAGCTCTGGCTATGATGAAGGCGCAAGGTCGCCGACAAATGTTCCAGAGAAGGTACATGAGGGGACTAAGGGAGAAATGCATTTGCACAAAGTAGCATGCAGGCGGTGTACAGAGCAGAGAAATACAAGGCCCAACCAGAGAGAGAAACAGTGATACCGAAGATGGAGACTACGATAGGGAGAGTGGAACAATTACTGATTGACGGAATGAAGGGGTGTGATCCTGAGATACATGACGTACGATTGCATTCCAATTAACCCTTGAGCAACTGAACCAAGAGGTTCTGTTCTTTTGGTTAAAATTATTATTAAAAAAAAAAAAAAAAAACGGTTGGCGGTGGTTCGGGCAGACGAGGGAAGGTAAGGTCTCCTCAACATCTCACGCATGCACCTAAAAAGACAATCGTGAAGGCAAACATGAAACGCTCAAAAGAACAACAACTGTCCTAAGATGATAGATGCGTAAACAGGAATATGAAGAGGAAGGAGAGCACCGGGAAAAAATCCAGGAATATGAGAAGAGCAGCAAAAAAAATCGGCCGCAGCATCTTTCGACTGTCAGCCAGCCATGAGGACGCAGTCGATGAGAACTACCAATCGACTCAGCTGGCAATGGCAATGGTCCGCTTCAGGGCATGCTCACACTAGGACCTTTTCACTTATTTCTGGATGGGAATGCAGCCAGATACGTCCAGGTCCGGCGGCGTACTTACGGTCAGATACATTCGGCAGAGTGGGGTAGTGTGAGAACGCCCTCAGTGACGATGACGCAGGTATCACCATCATATGTGGGCCTAATGCGGAACAGTGGACCAAGCCGCAGTCGATGCACGGAGGAGCATTAGAAGAACACAGCCCCTTCATACGACCAGATGCAAGTATCAGTGCAGAAAAAAAACTACCTCCTCCTCCCATCTGCCTCCCATCTGCAAACCTTAACCCCAGGAATTCAGCCCCACCAACACTCATCGATGGACATGCGACCTGTAAAAGGCAAAGAACGCCACGTTCTCAAAGACTTCCTTCTGGGGTTTTACCCAGGACAAAAATTCGCTCAGATTAACACCCTTCTTCCTGCCGAAGAATGGCCGAGGCCAAAACACCCATTTCGGATGTACTCCCGACTACCTACCTAATGAGTCTGTCTGTATGCACCTGGATGCACTTCTGGATACGGTGCACGTGTCTGTCTGTAAGTGTGTGAGGAGTCCGTGGGGCACAGGGCCGGATGGGGGAACCCCTGCCCCTGGACACTACCTTCTCCCCCGAATACAACATACGGTCATTATAGCGGTATCTAGACTGAAAGATGCCTCAAATACAGCTATAATGACCGTACGTTGTATTCGGGGGAAGAAGGTAGTCATCCGGCCTTCCAAATGGAGGGACAGTGGGTGCGTCACACACACACACACACACACACACACACACACACACACACACACACACTCATTCCTATGTACGTATTTCTTTTTTATTGACTCTCTCTCTCTCTCTCTCTCTCTCTCTCACACACACACACACACACACACACACACACACACACACACAC